TAGTAAACTTATTATTACCCTGGTAATCCATTTTTATTTTATTTTTATTGTTTTTTGATTATTTGTGTTATATTATGCATTTATTTATTTTTAAAAGATTTATTTTATGTTATATTCCTCCCCCCATTACCGAATTCTTAAACCAACTTTTCATTCACACATTTCCGCCCGCTTACCCTCAGAAATTATGTTAACTTTTCAAACTTTATTCAATTATAACGTAACCTGTCTTATCACTGTTTAATTCCATGAATCCTTCACAAATGATTGATCACTGGGTGGTGATCAATCTCATGCTTGTCTAGTCCTTATTAGTGCCAGGAAGCACCAGTTCCCTCAAGATTACAGGTACACCTTGCTGACGAGTGCCAAGTAGCACGAAACCCGGGTCCAGGGTTTCCTGTTGACTACCTCCAACCACCATCTAATCCATGAATCCTTCACTACCTCTAAAATTATCACACAATTTATGAACTCCATGCAAATACTACACCACCCATCCTGAATCGTTTCCTTAATTCTAACACTAATTAACCTCTGACCTGTTCTTACATATATATATATATATATATATAGTTGTTATTGTAAACCTTTGTCATTCCAATCATTTACATTCATTTATGTCAGTTATTTCACACTATTTCTTATCTCAATGTGAAATTGTATTACATATTTGGTTGTAAGCAGCTGACAAGAAACCTCGAAATATTATGAATTCATACTATTCTGCATCAATATTAGTTCTTGCTTAATTTAAATTCATAAAGGGAACTAATTGCATGAAATAATCAGTATGTTAGATGATTATCCTTACAGATTGAGTCCATTCATGGAACTGAAATGTATTGAATACTTGTTTCGTTCAAGGTAAGAACTCTTAGAAATTTTATTCCTACGATGGAATACTGGATTATTCTACGATATTCAGTTTTCTAAGGTAACACGATATGTTTGAAACATTGATTTGAGATACAATGACTCATATCTATCATCTCTCGAAATAGCATGAAGATTATCTAATGCCATTTGGTTAGTGACTAATTTTCTAACAACATCGGTAAACTGTATTGCTCACTAAAGCATTTAGATGCCATCTCGACACTAATACGTACCGGAAAACTGTTTATTTCAGTGATTTATAAAGACTATTTCAATCTGCCAATTCTTCATCAAAGTAAAAAACTACTCGTCATGGGAATAGTAAAATAAAGCAAACTCTTGACAAATTTCCGTTGAATTCATGAAGCCATACTTATGTCAAGGTAGGAAATTGAAGCCACTTGATCAAGACATAATCATATCACTTTGAGATTTTTGTTTCTATCACATAAGTTTATCTATCATATATAACTTGTCAGTAACAGGTTGTATGGTCACTCGGTAGCTGATCAATCACAGTTTATAAATGACTAGATTCTTCCCTAAACCTGAGTATTAAAATCTTTTAAGTTGTTTGGAGAGCTTCGACTACCTACGTCCCTAGAGAAGCTCATTGCATAGTATATTTTCTTCCTAAGACTTATCTGATTGACCGAAAGTTGATGAATGAACGCGCTTGATATATTAAAAGTTCTTTTATAAATTTAAAGTATTTTTTTATTTTAGCCTAGTTTAACTGAGAAGTGTTGTGATAGACAAATACCATAGTATTTCAATTAAATAAGTCCCCTCAAGAAGCTGATACATTACGTAAACTATAATGACTTAAAAGCCATATTACTGTTCATCTCCATTACAAATTGAACATGTCGCATTTAAAACAGATGATTTGTTAGAAGGTATCTCGTTACATTTAATGTTATTTTTCTAAAGAGATAAGTTCGGTTTCGTTTTATATATTCGTGTCTGCGTACATTGATCAATACTTAGATTGGCTGAACGAAATAATAAATCACTCTAATTTGATAAATTATTTTGCCTTTTTTGTAAGGACAGATGTTGTTTAGGTTAGCCTCAATAGTTTTTGAATTCAACCCAAACTTCATAGAACAGGTGAATTATGGCCGGCAATCGAATCTGGGATTTGCATTCCTTTCGATTCGAGATTCTACATCTAACCAAAGTCCACCTCTGCTATAAAACTTGTGCCAAAACTCTCATATCGAAGCAATTTTGACAGGATGTACAAATACAAACTAACACTGATAAGAGTTCAGTCAAGAATATTAATAACAGGATAACTCAAACCCTTGGAAATTAGATTGAGCTCAATAAATATGTTATGTTCCTCACTTTCTACCGCTTAATGAGTGAAAACTGTAGTTAGAGCTTAATTTTTATTAAATATTTAGAATTTTCTGCAACTGACTGTTATGAGCATGGAAGTGTTAAAAACCTGACATCCCAGATGGAAACGACAAATATAGTAAGAAATAGGTTCGGAAATAACATCTTAAATGAAAATTATGAAAGTGCAGTACACAATGCTTTTACTGTACTCTGAAAACACTAATAATAACGCAGGGAGTTCTGTGATAAAAGTCCGCTTTCATAATGATAAAAACCATAATGAATTAAGTCACCAATAATCATTCTTTTAAGATCTTTTAAAAAACTAGCAATTGATATTCATAACTATTCCATCGTGGTGTTGTTCGGCTTTTTTTTAATTGTTTCTGGACTTCTCAAACAATTTTTATTGCTTTAAAGGATGCTTCAAGATGCAGTCTTTTCACATATTGACTGGTTGCTTGATCATGTAGAAAATACTCTCTGTTCTAATCACGTCAATTAGATAACTGACAAATTATTTTCTTTTTTGATCTATGAAGATTCACGTTTATTTACACAATGATTTTCACTATTATATTCTTGAAATTAAATTGAGTATAAGATGGATTTACGTTACGAAACTTTGCTACTATTGTTTCATTGAAAGTTATTTCATATACTGTTTGTATCTCATCATTATGGTAAAGGATTACCTAATAAAATCTTATTATCAACCATCATATTTACCAGGTATGGATATCAATATTCGTCTATGGTTAATGTTCTGTCTACTTTAAACGATCTCAAATCACTGACCAATCAAAAGTTTGAATGCTACTACCGAGTTCGGAATTTAAATCAGCTTTCGTGAAACCACAAAAGCCATTCAAACAGGTCTCATCCATTATTTATACACTGATGCAAATCATATGGGTTTTGTTATGTTTGGAAAGTCTTAATATCAACATCAGTTGTGTACCTAAGACCCTTATTCAAGATTCTGGAGAAGTAAAATAAATCAGCTCTCCTTCTGGAGAATCAAAAGTCCAGTTTCATACGCGTCTGTCCAGGGACCCTATGGTATCTTCGTACTGTTTGGTTGGTGTTGATATCGTAGCAAGCACCAAAACGGAGAAAGTGCTAATCGATTTGATCCCCATTATTAGTCGATTATTTACTTCGCAGATTGTTCGAAGGTCGTGAAAAACTTCCTTGCAAGGAGCATAGCGATTTTTGCCGTAGTTGTGGATATCTGTTTTATAACACCTGGATTAAATGATTTATTTCAGCAGAATATTTATATGGAGATTGAAGACTGGGCAAATACTTAGCTAACTACAACTATGTAACCTTAAAGGATTTAAAGAAACGGCTTTACAAGAATCAATAATCCAAGGTCGATTATAAAATTTGGCAGCTCACACATCGATGTGGTTTGCTTTTGATTAATAACACTGCTATGCATATCAATTGTCTCAAACCAAACAATCACAGAGAAAATAAAATACGAAAAACCGAGTTTTACTTATTCTAGCCTATATATATATGTATATAACATTAACTAAAAAGTCGATATTTTCAGTTTCTTACTGCTAATCTGTAATTGAGTAGAATAGTTCTTTTTTTCTCCTTCTTTCTCCGAAAAAAAGAGTATTCAAACAAATAAACACACAAAACAATAATGATTCGTTTGTTTTAAAGGTTTAAAGAAAATAAATAAACATGAATGCACATATGTATGTATGTTTCCAGAGTATATATATATATATATATATATATATATATATATATATATATATATATATATATATATATATATATATATATATATATATATATATATATATATATATATATATATGGAAATTATCTGAAGATTACTGGGTTAATGTTGTTAATTATAATACAACTATTATTACCATTGATTGATGGGAAAGGATCAATTGTAGCTTCATCCACCTCTCCACAACATCACCTTTGTCATTATTAATAGTAACATTATAATTTGTATGGTTATTCACCGTAATAAACATTCATTTTATAATCATCAGAAATTACAAAAGTCAAATAAAATCTTATAGTTATCTTCGCATTTCCTACAGATCATCATCAAATAGAATATGCAGTTACATTTAAAAAATATTCGAGGAAACAATTCAAGAGTATAAACAACATGAATAAACGAACAAAACAAAACCCAACAGAACAGACAATAAGCATTCACACATACACAAAGAGAGAGAAAATATATAAATAAACAAAATTAAGCTAAATAACATAATTATTATGTTACTTAATGCCTAAATACATTTAAAAATTGTAATTTTGTTGTTATTGTTGGTATTTTCATAACTAACACCATAAAAATAAATGAAATCATTAAAACAAAAAAAACAACAAAATATTCAAGAATATAAAACATTCAATAATATTGAATAAATAGAGAAATAGTAATAATACAAAAAACAAATGTGAAATATGTAAATGGTTTATTACTCAAGTGGATGGTTTTTTGAGTTTAGTTTGAACAAAATTATATGGATTTGTACATGGCAATAATAGTTAAATGGTTATGATGATAAAAGGGAAACAGTTGATTTACTTTACGTTTTTTATTACCTTCAAAAAGAGAGGTACCCCCCATCTTCTCTACCTGATTGTCAATATAATGATATTGATAAAATTATAATGTTCAAATAGAGATAACTTACTGAATGACGGTAAACATACTAGTAATGCTAGTAGTAGTGAACTTCAAAAGAAAAAGCATATTAACAACGAATTACAGATGCATGTATGGTATACATATAACATCAACGTAAAGGTGATGTGATCGGTGCACAATTAGTCATGGGTAATGCACCAACCGTTACAGTAAATTTATTATTCACTTCTGATGATGGATCATTTAAACTAGGATTGGGTAAACTGTCCGATGGTAAAAGAATATTTGTAGGATTGTCATTAGAACATTGAGTTATTGTTGTTGTTGTGGTGGTGGTGGTTGGCATTGTTGTATCAGGTTGATAATGCATTGTTTGTAGATTCGGTTTGGTAGCAGTCGACCATAAACAAGCATAGCGTTCTCTTAATAACCGCATACAATCCGATAATAATGTTTTATCCCTTTGTGATTTAGCATGTTGACATAGGCCATGAATTAAAGTGATACCAGCCTTATATCGTTGAAGAGACTAAAAAGGAGAAGACTTCATTTTAAAAGAATGTTTTTATAATTATTATAAGACACAAAGAGTTAAAATAAGTTTTATTTTCAGCTTGTTTACTCAGATAAGCACCCATGATCAGACGGGGTTCAAAAAAACAAGAATACGAGTCTTTATCAATTAAAATGGTTGGGACATGTTATATAACTCTTATCCACCTCCTGTATTGTCGAACGATTATGTCTGGTGGAGCAGTAGTTTGGATGAAAGCTGAGGGTGACCAAACTAAAACATATCATTAGGTTATGAAGTCACTGACCGTTGGACTAGATCGGGTAAGTAGGTGTGGACCAACTCGGTTGGGTTCTGCTCGATTATCGTAACCAACCACTAGACTTCAGGTGACATGGCTCAGAATCGTTTTCAATGGTACTGGTGCATCTATTCTTTGTATTCTTCATAGTTCATAAGTTTATACACTACCTTAAAATTTTCTTTTTCTTAACTTAAACCTGTTAACTCTCGTAAGAGCGTAGCTCACCCATTAGGATTCTCCAACCAACTCTATCCTGGGCTTTTCTTTCCAGTTGCTTTTAGATGAGATCCAGTCTCCTCATGTTTGCCTCTAATTTTTAGCGCAATGTGTTCTTTGGACTCTCGCTTTTCCTTTAATCTTGAGGATTACAAGTTAGGCTCTTTTAATTCTATTAATTCATATTTTCTTCTCGAATCGCACCTTCGATGGCTAATCTTTTCGATTACCACTAATACCTTTAATACAGCCAAAACTATAGAATTGACCTTGAAAATTTCATCTCACTGTGTTATTTGGGTGTGACAACTTGAAAGGCTGCACACGTGCCTCAAGTTCTACGTTGTATATGACCAACTGATAATGGGAATTTCAGTCTTGCTATATATGTGAAAAATTCATTCCTTAGCTTTTACAAAGGTAACATGAATGTTAGGTGATCAACTAATGATCACAAACTCGAACTTTAGTGATTTATAGTGCCATAGAATGTTTGAAATCCAAATGAAGGAAGACTGGAGATATTATTATTTATTGAGAAAACGAATCTACGCAATTAGACAGAGTGGACGACGTATAAACAATACAACACTTGAACAACGACAACTACAGACGAGTAATAAAACAGAACATTTATATGTAAAGAAAAGGTGACTACATAAGTTACTATCAGAGTATATATAAATTTTGATAAGACAACAGCCAATAAAAAATGAGGGTAAATTGCATAGGGTTATATAAATCCGGGAAGAAACAACAAAGTTCATACTACCGTCTTATTGTTATTATTTTCACTAATAAATCCTTATTTAATTATTATGCTTTCAACATTACTATTAACCTTCTAAACACATGCACAATTTAGTTAGCACTTACCATACTTTGTTTATTGAATCTATATAACTGTTATAACCCTTTATTAAACATCGTATCTGAATTGTAATTACATCATAATTTCTGTTTTATCCTATCTTACCTATATTCATTCTGACCAATAATTTCATAATTTCATTTAACGTACAAATTAGCGAGACTATACATTATGGACGAACCAATCAGATTTAGGATAACAGGTCTTGGATTTTGACTCGAGATTCATCCACCCATTTGGTTAAAGAGCATTTTGAGACTTAAGCTAATGTCAGTTAGTGATGAAAACTTTAAATCTAATTCGTAACCCTAACTATCAATTGTAAATTATAATCTTTATTCTTTGCACGGGTTTATAATTCCCATTTAACCCTAGTGATATGGTATATGCTACTTATGTTGGTCGACATAAGTAGTATGTAACACTAATCAAAAGTGGAATGCCTGGCAGCAGAAGTTTGAGAAGATCGAGTTGAAGAGAACGGGAATGTAAACAGAGAGTAATTGTGATAGCAATGAAGGAATAATAAAGTGTGAGACAATTAATGGAAGATTTACAAATGAAGTATTTGATGTATGGCTTTCCACATTTTTACGAAGGAACTCGGTAATTTTGCATTGAAGAATGAAATTAGTAGTACTCAACTGAGTTTTCGTTCACTACAGATATTATGTTAACATTTATTATAAGCTTCACATCTTTATGATTGCATTAACTTTGGTAGCAATTATGAAAAGATAAACGATAAAAAATATTACAACCGATCGGGATATATAAATGAACTGAAATAATTAATTGAATTAAACAGCTAGGGAGCTATAATCACGTCTATATTTAGCAATGATGCTTTCATAAACCATCAATATGACTTATGCACTAAGAATAAACGTTAAAAATGTAAACATACTAATGCGATTTCACCAATATACTCATCCATTTCAGCAGCATAACACTGAAATTAAAAGAAAAATCAGATGACACTAATAATCAATATGCTTGTTATAGAAAACCATATTAAACAATAAATAGTATAATAACACTATACTAAAGTGTACTTCAAATAACACACATATATTTTAAAAAAAAACAGAAGGAGAGTTGGAATCATCAAATCTAAACAAAAGATTACTTCTTCAATCGAAAAATAGAATCTCAAAAAGTATGAAGACTGCATAAATATCACTGTAAGTGTAGATATTTACAACATGGATTTTAAATAATAATTTTTTTCCTAATTTACAGTTAGCCTTTCCATTAGTAATAAATGATAAAATTAATCTAGGATTGTCAATTTTCAAACAATTCTACAAAATTTCTAAGCGCGTTTTTGATTGAAAGTACTTTCACCTTTGTCAAATATTCCTATCAGGACTCGAAACGATTACCTTGCTATTCAAACGTACAACCCATCATTCACTTGGACAGTGATTTGAAATAATCATTATCTTGTGTAATGGGCATAGGAGTTAATTTCACTTATTTGAGTTTCAAATAGGACAAAACTTCTAGCCACTATCAAAACCTTGTTTAAAAATGATTGTAAGTTAGTGAAGCCAATTTGATCAGGATACACAAATCATAAAAGAGACTGATCAGTTGAAGCAATTAATATCAACAACGAAAAGACTTAAATCCTTACAAGTAAAACTGGGTTCCTCAAAATATTTTTGCTGGTTATGAAAATAAAATAAAACAAATAATAAAAAGAAAGTACAACTTTAAAAAAGGACTACACGAATGGAACGTTAATTTAACTTAGACAAATGTTAACACTAGAAACCCTTCCTACAGGACAACTCAGATCAAGAACACGTGACTAACTTGACTAAAACATAAGTATATTCCACAACAAAAACCGACAGTAAAACCAACGATAATAGGGGTAGGAAAATATATAACTTATATATAATACCTGTCAAACTATCTACTAGTCTGACTAAGCAAACAACCAATCATTATTTTCCTCGCCCACACATCATAAAGATAAAGCATTTTATCGTTTGTTCATGGTACACTCATAAATCTGGATCGACAACACGATTACGAAAAAAGTAATCTATGTTAGGCTTTGCAAAGTCCAAAACCATAGATTACGACCGCCACGTACATTTTAAACCAAGTTCCCCACTTCCCCTTTAATTTATATCAATAATCGATGACCTCATAGAATGATACGTTGTCTTAAGCTGAACAAACCCAGTCTTTTTCCAACCTAGTTTTATGCTAGCGAAAATAGAAAATCGAGTTTGACGGTGAATAGCTCATGTAAATCAAGTTTTTCAAACACTTAAGTTGATAAGAATTTACAGGCCCATCATTTGATGTACTAACTCAAAGTAGCACATTACATTTAGTCATGCTTGATAGTGCTATTACAAACCTACTTCGGTTTAGGAAATCGAGCAGCAGTACATGAATCTATACCTTGTAAACGAGTAAGTATCAATGAAGAGCACTTAGTCAGGATTCAAAGGTTCATACTTCAAAAGTCAATTAATTTGTTCATGTATCAGAACGAAAGCTATTCAGTGCTTTTTGGTTTTGATTTGTTCGTTAGTTTATATCATTTGATGATGAGAACTAATTTTGAATTGAAAGATCTTTATAAACGTCTTTTCCTAATAACTTCTTTAAGATGAATAAGAAGAATTGATAAAATCAGCACAATATAGTATTTAGACTAGTCTGTTTGTATTATATTATTCTTAAAAATAAGATTGATCCTGTGAATAAATGAAGACTAGGAAATTCGTACTTAGCCTGAACAACACGTGTACAAAGCAATTGAATTGTGAAATATCCAAATAAATAACGAAAAAAAATTAAATGAAAAAAAACAATGAGAAAACGAACTTGATCCAATGCATATTGAAATATTAAACGATTAGCTGTAATATTAGCTAAAAGTCTACCAACTGGTTCAATTAAATCTTCACGACGTGATTGCCTTGCTAATTGTCTAAGTCGGATATAACAACGATGGTATAATGTATTACAATCGACTAAACCTGAAAAGTACAAACGAAAACAAATAGTTTGTAATAAATAAAAAGAGAAGAATATTACTGAAAAAAAATTTAGTCCAGTTGTCAATATAATAAAACAGGATCAAAGTTGTAAAACACGAAATATGGTATAGTATGAAATAAAATGTAATCAGTTAGAAAGATACTATTCAAGATGATCGATTAGACGAAATAATAAACAAAAATTACTCACCATCTTCCACAAAGTTTGACGCATGGGTTACATGTACATTTTTTACATACGGCTGAAGCCATCGGTATCAACCGTGAAAAAAACATGACCTCAGAGTGCGTGGGAACTTTTCACACCAATTCCCTTACCTAGGACAGTAAAATAGGCGCTACTAGAGTAGCTGACAAATTAATTATTACACTCGCTATTGTGCCAACGTCTCTCAAATGAAATTCTTATTCTACTATTATTGTACAGCTGCAACATTATCTTTACGCCCGTGTAACATATTACAATATTTAAACTATCAATTTGGTGAAATGAAAACTTAGTGGCCACATCAATTCGATAAATAAATGTTCCAGTCCATTTATTTACTAATACCTTTCAATAGTAATTACTTTCCCGACCGTTGTTGCAACCTTGACGTGGTGGTCGGGCTTGCCTATCGTGATGAAGCAACCGAGCTATACTGGCTGGAACAACCGTTCCTCAAGGTCCTACCATGTCAGACAGGTCAGTTGAAGAGCGGTAAGACTAAAAGAAACAAACTCAAGGTTCGAAGGCGAAGTCGTACTGCTGACTGTACAGAGGTGTGACAGCAGTAAGGTGTTTCCTTCAGACAACCAGCATGACAGCGATGCTACCTTCCCACAAGGAGGGGTGGGGTTAGAAAAGGTCGACCCTAAAAATGCACACCTCGCCTTATCCCACGGACATCCGTCTCCGGCGGTAAGGTCTCAATAAGTACGGAGCTAACACAAAAATTACCCATAACAAGATCGTGTGTGACCGACCTCAAGCAGTTGTCCCTTGGGCACTGCGGTCACGCTCTCAGGTCACTAAGACCACCTTTAATCCGATTTCCTTTTCAGGTACCTCCAGAACAACCCTTCCTCGGTGTGGGCAACCGGGAAGTGATAACCGCCCTCATACCTCTAACAGCACGCAAGACCACTGTATTCATAATCAACCTCCCTCTTCAATTCCTATTATTCCTCCTACATCGACTTTCAACCCTAAACTTACTCCTTCGGCTTCCTCCTCAAGTGTCACCATAGCCAACGATTCTAGTGCTCAAAACTCTGTCCCAGGTTTACTGAAACCTTGCTCCAAACTACACATTGGAGCTTTCAACGTACGCACTCTATGTCAAATCGGTCAGCAGGCTTCCTTGGCTAATACCATAGAGTCTCTTTCCATTGATGTATGCTGTGTCTCTGAAACACGCATACAGGATTCCAGTGTGGTCATTCACTTGACCTCACCTCGGCAAAACGGAGAGCCAACGAGATACACCCTCCGTGTATCTGGTGACCCGACGGCCAGTTCTCGTGGACTGGCAGGTGTAGACATAGCACTAAGCATGAGGGCGGAACAAGCACTGCTAGAGTGGATCCCCGTCAACAGTCGCCTATGTGCTGTTCGGCTAAACGGCTCCGTAAAAACTCGGAAGGATAGGGACACACGTCGTTGCCTTTTCGTCGTTTCTGCCTACGCTCCCACTGACTGCAGCTCAGATGATGTGAAAGATGAATTTTACAGAAAGCTTTCTGAACTTCTTCAGAAAGCTAAACGCTCAGACATAGTACTCGTAGGGGGTGACTTTAATGCTCAGATAGGTAGCTTAAACCAAACAGAAAGGGATTTAGGTGGATATTTTAGCATTCCGGCACAGCGAACAGATAATGGTGACCGTCTGCTGCAACTGTGCTCAGACAATCGCTTATTTTTAGCAAACACAAATTTTAAGCATAAGGAGAGACATCGTCTAACGTGGCGACCGCCTGCACCAAACCAACGATGAACTCAAATAGACCATATTGCCATCAGTCATCGTTGGAGAGGGTCGGTAGAAGATTGTCGCTCATTCTAGAGTACCTGCTTGGACTCCGACCATGCCCTAATACGGGCACGCATCTGCTTGCGCCTCACTGGACGCAAAAAAGCCACATTAAAAGGACCCGTTAGAATTGAGTTGAGTAACGAGAAAACCAAAAGTAGATTCCAGGAACAACTGAGGTCACACTTAGGTAGTTGTGAAGACGAGGCTGACCCAGATGTTGCTTGGAAGGGCATACAATCAGCTGTGGAAACAGCAGTGACATCTATTAGTGACTTAAACCACAGATTTGCAAGGAACCAGTGGATTTCTTCAAGGTCTGTCACACTGATGGATTCTCGCAAACTCGTCCCATCAGGTTCCGAACATGATGAAGAGCGAAAACAAATCAGATCTAGGTTAAGAAAAAGTCTAAGAAACGACCGTGAGCAGTGGTGGTTAACGAAAGCAAAAGAGATGGAAAAGGCGGCGATTATAGGGAACACAAGACAGCTTTACAGACTAATAAAAGAAACTGGAATTAATAAGTCAAGTGTAAGTGAGATTATATCGGAAAAAGACGATACACTCATCTGCTCCCAGTCCAGACGTTTAGAACGATGGGCGGAACATTTTAGAGAACAGTTCAGCTGGCCTTTTGCCAACTTACGTCACCTTTGGCGGAGGCGAGATATCCGTCTATCAATAAAAAGACGAGTATACTGCGCGGCAGTTCGTTCTGTTTTAATTTACGGCAGCGAAACATGGCCCTTAAGAGTAGAAGACACCCATAAGCTACTAGTATTTGACCACAGATGCCTTAGAAATATTGCTGGCATCTGCTGGGATCACCGGGTAAGTAATAGTGAGGTTAGACGCAGGGTATTAGGGGGTGATGGTAAATCAGTTGATGAGGTTATGAATCTTCATCGACTGAGATGGTTGGGCCACGTATTACGTATGCCTGAACACCGATTACCACGACGTGCAATGCTAACCGGTGTAGGGGATGGTTGGAAGAAAGTTAGGGGCGGCCAAACCAAAACGTGGCATCAGTCCCTGAAGTCACTAACTTGTAGTCTGAGCCATGTTGGTAGATGCAGACTACTTGGTTGGGGTCCGCGTGACTTTCGTAACCAATGGTTGGAGACTCTTGGCGACATGGCTCAGAATCGATCACAATGGCGTCGGTGTATACACTCTTTGTCTTCCCTTAAACTAAGAGATTAAAACCACTTCATATCTTTCTTTCTACGAACTAATTCTTTCTTCCTATACTATATCCTTATTGCAACCCTTGACCTAACCACTCCTATGAATCCGGTGTCCATCTTGTTGTGTTAATGAGGTATGGCAACCTGGACCGATGCACATATGTGCCTGGTCCTACGTTGTAGCTGACTGACTGACTGAGTAATTACTTTATTTACTTTATGCTTCAATTAATTCGTTATTCATTGATAATTAATTCCAAAGACACATTTTGATTTGTAATAATGTTATCTAACATAGTATCATTTGATTAACGTCGAGTTCATCATTATTATTAAGCATACATAATAATGTGGAGCCACAATGAAAAATTAAGTGAAAAGAAATACTTTTTCGCTAACTTCGTCTTGTTTACGTAAACAGCAATACGCTACGCACTGTTCAATAGTTACTTTATCAAATGAATAGGATAGACTAATTCAGTAACTAGCTAACACAATTCAGTAACCAAGCAACACTTCTAGTAAGAAGGTTGTGATATATATGGGATTGTAGTCCAGTTTTTGAAATTCAAGTGATCTAAGCCACCTTGTTCTAAATCGAAATATTCAGACAAGGTCATTCAGCATATCAAGAGAAAAGACATTTAATTAGGTGCAAAATAATAGACCCTGACGTTATAATTAAAACAGAATGAAACTTAGTAATTATTATGAATATAAAGGCATGAAATCACGTAGAATTTTAAAAAATTGGTATACCCAAATGTCCTGGTATGGCCGAGAATGGGGTGGCCCCGCCTTCCCTCTCGAAACGCATCTCCTTACGATGCTCCACTGCCTTGTGGGTCGGGCCACTAGGTCAATGGCTCGGGGTGTGGCCCTCTAAGAAAAACCACATGCTTTGGTCTGGGCACCCGGGAAGTATCACAGCCCACACTCAAATATGATGAAATGTCGATATTTATAGAAAATACTGGTCGCAGGACAGATAACGGGGACCATCTACTGCAACTGTGCACAGACCACAACCCGTTTCTCGCTAGCACTAACTTTCGGGCCAGTCATCGCCGATGTGCCACCTGGCGTCCTCCCTCAGCATCCCAAGCGTGGACTCAGATTGATCACATCGCGATCAGCTACCGCTTGCGTGGTTATGTAAAACACTGCCGCTCCTTTTGGAGAACCTATCTGAACTCTTACCATGCCTTGGTCTGCGCCAATCTTACCTTACTTTTCAGTGGCCAACAAAGTGACCGCCACCAAAGGATTGATGTTAGCAAGTTGGTTGCAACTTCACGACGCCATGGAAATGGCGAGTAAAGCCGCTTATGGCTTCGCGAAACGTCCCGCCTATAAGCACTGCGCTCCTTACAACTCATCGAAGCCCGCCAGTCTACTCCGGGTGACCTTGAGTTTGACCACATACGAAGTCTGTTAGGTAATGAAATCGGGAAAAGCTTGCGTAAGGACCGAGAAGCCTGGTGGTCGGAGCGTGCTAATGAGATGGAAGCAGCAGCTGCATCTGATAACTACCGAAAGCTCTTCCAACTCATCCGAGCCACTGGCAGCAAGAAGTCTGGCGTGAGTGAAACAATCTGCGAGGATGACGGGATGCCAATCACTAACATCCATCGACGTCTTTGACGATGGGCAGAATTCTTCGAAGGGCAGTTCAACTGGCCTGTTGCTCCGGCAACATCGGTCAGACTGTCCAGCCCTCCATGGCCGATGACGACTGATCCACCGAATGAGGCGGACGTCCGCAAGGAACTCCAACTCTTGAAGCGCTAGAAACCACCGGGCCTAGATGACTTACCACCGGCCCATTTAAAGATGGCGGTGACTTTCTAACTAAGGAACTGACAACGTTGTTTACAAAGGTTTGGGAACTAGAGAGTGTGCCAACGTCATGGAATGAGTCGATAGTTGTCCCTATCTTTAAACAGGGTTCATGTCATTCCTGTAACAACTATCGGGGGATAAGTCTACTTTCGATTGCGTCCAAGCTATTGGATCCCGTCATACTATGTAGGTTGTTCAAAACCCGAGAAAGATTGACTCGCGAGGAGCAGGCTGGTTTTTCGTTCTGGTCGAGGATCTATTGATCATATCGTCACCCCCCGCCAAATGTTGGGACACCGTTATACTTATCACAGGCCAACAATCGAAGTGGATGTAAGTATTACCGGTGTAGATCTGTTGCCTGGAGAAAGACTTCTCGACCTTGAGTATGCGGATGATATTGTCTTACTGTGCGTTAATACCCAAACCAGGCAATCCGCACTTAATCAGTTGACAATCAATGTCCGTAGGTACGATATGTGCTTTGCACTTTCGAAGTGCAAAGTACTTTCACAAGACTGGCACGACTCTGATCCTGTACTCACCCTGGATGGTGACCAGATAGAAGTTGTCGAAAAGTTCGTGAATCTAGGTGGCTGCATAAGTGGTGGTGGTGGCGTCAGTGATGAGATCAATGCACGTATAGTGAAAGCCAGAGCAGGTTATGCCAATCTGGGCAATCTTTGGCGTTTTCGTGATGTTAGTCTGGCTGTAAAAGGTCGGATCTACAACGCGTCGGTGAGAGTAGTTTCGCTCTATGTTCGTGAAACCTGGCCTCTTCGAGTTGAGGATGTTAGACGACTCTCTGTGTGTGATCATCGTTGTCTCCGAAGGATTGCTTACATCCAGTGGCAACATCATGTTAGTAATGCAGAGCTTCGGCATCGCGTGTTCGGGCGAAGAGATGATAACCCAATTGGTGTCACCATCTTGAAACACCGACTTCGGTGGCTTGGACATGTTCTACGAATGTCGTCCCAGAGAATTCCACGTCGTGCATTATCTGCCAACGCTGAGATTGGTTGGAAAATGCGGAGAGGTGGTCAGTGTATGACATGGTGTCGTGGTATGAGAGAAATCTGCAAAGGGCTGACTTCTGTTGGTCCTTCACGACTCCCTGGCTGGGGTCCGAGAGATGGTGCAACACAGTGGCTAGAGACGTTATCAGATATGGCTCAGAATAGAAGCCAGTGGTGATCCTGCTGTAACCTTCTTTTACTTTCTTCGTAAAAGGCGGTTGTTTCTTCCTTAACTGAACTAATTCTTTCTGGTTGTACCTTTCCGTTTCCCCCATTATTACTATTATTATAACACAACCTTACAATAATCAGTTCGTTATTGTTCTGTTTTTGGCTCCTTACCTTTTTTCCCCTTCGAATTCTCATTTTTTTGTGTGGCGCATATATATTTGGTGCCCTCTTGCACCAATATTTATGTGTTCAAATAAATAATAAACTTAGATACGAATGAAGATAAATGGCGAAAGGAATCAAAACACACTGTGGCGATGAAAAACCTCGGCAGGATCATCGATGAACAAGGAGGATCTGATGTAAACGTGAAGGCAAGGATTGACAAAGGGTATCATTCCTACAGTTGAAGAACATGTGAAACTAAAAACAACTGTCAACCAATATCAAAGTCACAATTAACAATACGAACGTCAAGACAGTTCTACTGTAAGGAGCTGGAATTTGGAGAACTACCACAACCATCATCAAAAATGTACAATTATTTATAGACAATTATCTACGTAAAATACTCAATGTTCGTTTGCTGGATACAATCAGCAACAGCCTACTATGGGAGAGAACAGACCAGCTTTCAGCTCAAGAGGAAATTAGGAAAAGACGATGACAGTGGATGGGACATAAATTGTGGAAATTATAAAACTGCATCACAATGCCAACTGGTAAGGATTGACCAGGAGAGAATTGTATGGAGAATGCTGGTGGGCGGCCGATGCTCCTCCATAAGGAGTAATAGGCGTAAGTAAGTACGACAATGAAAATGAAGTTTGCAGGTTGTCAGGTAAAAGTGAAGCACTCGAAACTATATAAGGAAGCTATTTTAGTCCTAATCGTGTTTTGAACGCAAAGTGGTAACAATTTGTGGTTAAATTTTAAAAGTATGACGAAAAACGTGGCACTTACGTCTTCTTGCAGTGGGTGTAGATTTTAGACGACCGTTTTGAAACGCTTTTTTAACTTGATCAAAAACATATTCCAAGTAATAGAGAACACGTCGATAAAGTACAATTTGTTCAACAATTCTAAAAGCCAAATTAAAAAAGGTAATAATTTAGTGACAACGAATTGGGGTCTAAAAATTTGAGGTGAATATATAAAAATTACATTCTTGTTCATTAGTAAACATAAGGACAAAAAATTGCGACAGTACTAGCTTAAAGCAGAGCTGGTAGGTAGCTGGTAGTGGAATCAGGGACACGCTTCACGTTCTATGCAAGACTAGTCAGCTGGATGTACCTGTAACCCAGATATGTTGTTCTCTCTGGGATTTAAATCCAGTGTGGTATGTGCTACTCGTACGGACAGTTATAAGTAGCATGTATCAGGAATCGAAAGTATGATTCTTACGGATATAACAAGAAAATGAAGAGAAGAGAAAAGAAAGAAATCGACATAACAACAAGGATAGAAAGACGATGGAGTTATAAGTGACAACTCAAGGAAGATGTGCTAATGCATTGTTTTTATATTTTACAAAATCGGCGTGTGATTTTCATGATAGAATTATTTGGTTTACTGTGAAAAGCTTCGTTCATTACATTCCTCTTTGTCTTGAAATTCGAACAATCCAGATTAAAGTCCTCTTGATATAACGACAACATCAAAGCAATCAGCATAGGATGCACAATCACCTGCTTCGGTCTGGGCACCCACGCAGTATCACAGCCCACACAAAAATCTTGTGGCGCATATGTATGCGGCGCCCCTTTGTACTGATATTTATGTGTTCAAATGAATAAATTTAGGTTTAGCGTTCATACACTAATCCCGTTTTCAAAAAGCTATTTTAGTCTAGTGCTACTTCAAATTAGATTTTATTTCAACCTTAATCATCAACCTCATATAAATTGACACCAATAATATGAGTAACCACACACAATTTTATAAGCTGGATTCTGTGCAATAACCGTGATCAGTGGTTGGAGATACGCATTTTGTTTTTGATTTTTTGAACTATATTAATCTTTCCCACTATTATTACCACCATTATATTATTTCGGCACTTTTGTTATTCAACTTGATAATTTCATTGCGTCGGACTAATGGGATATGGCAGCTTCGTATAAAGTATATTTGTGTGAGGCTCTATGCTGATTATGATTAGCTCTGTTTGACTAAACTTTGAGATTTATATTCTACCATAACCCTAACTCAAATCGAATTAGGTACTTGACATATACAATATCTGAACCACTAAGACAAATTTCTAAACACGGTATCAACCAAGAACTCAGCAATCAAAGCAATTTTAGACGATTCAACAACAACAACAACAACAAAAATACTCCATACATTTTAATTTACATTGGGAAAGAGAAGAAAAGTGGTAAGAACGAAATACATCAGATCTATTCAGGCATTCATTTGGTGAACTAATTCATGACACTTTTTTAGATGCTTTTATGATTACTTCAAATACTATAAAAATTGTCCTTAAATTGGGGTTATCATTAACATGAGTGTCACTTTTTATTTAGCATAGTTTAATGACAATAAATGCATAATAAATACTGTTTTCAACTGTGAATAGCATAATTGACAAATAAGTTGATTTAGAATGGTTAGTCGGGAAAGAATTTCTTAGAGTTAATTCAGCTAGACTTGTATAATCATTTAATATTTGATGTAATCTGTAGATTATTCCGCTTAGGTGTAATTTAAATTTTAGGGTCAGACATGAAAATTTTAGGCTTTGAATAAAATAGAATAAGAAGTTTGGATCTTTTTAAACACCATCACTAACAAAACGTTCTTTTAGCAAGTTGGAATGTACAAACCAAAACGTGGCAATAGTTCATAAAAAGTTATTGACTGTTGATTTCAGCCATGTTGGTAGACGTCAACTAGATGATTGGAGTCGGTGTGATAACGCCGATGATTGGTTGGACACATTAGGTAACATTGATTCTAAATTAGTCACCATTTTCCATATCCGTTTACTCCTTATTTTCCTATCGATCTTCGACTCTAGTATTCCTTCATAAATACCTTTTCCACTGTCTTTTTGAACCATATTCTCAATGTTCAAACTTTTGCATTATCATTCCTACCATATTATTTTGATTTCTTTAATTATTCATCTAAATCGTTTCATTTCATCGTGCTTATATAGTATGGCGACTTTGGTTGACCACATATGCACCGAGCTAGCTCTGTATTGATTATAAATGACTATGACTGACTTTAAACAAATGAAAAAACTAGTGCCATCTAAAGAAAAAGAAGTTGATGAAAACATGAAAAACAAACAATAGTTACAACAGAAATTAGAACTACCAAGAGTATTACCGTCCAAAGTAATAATACTAAACCACTGTATTTATGTAGTTTCGAAAGAGATACCAATTTCATGAAATAGTTGAATCATAAAGCTTAACCAAATGTGAATAAAATTGAAACTAATTGCAAAATTCACAAAAATATATGCACTTAGTTGTTAGAACTCTTTACTCGAATTTCATTACATAACATACCTTTGAGCTTCAGACACGAATTTCAATGCAGTGGATGATGCTTGTTGACAATTTTTGCTTGAATCCTGTTCATCATTATTACCATTATTACTATAACTGCCAACAGAATGATTATTATCAAGACTATTAGTATTCGACGAACATTTAGTTTGTTGATTGTCCAGCTTAACTAGTGATATACCATCATTAGCAGCAGAAGGATCTGTAGTGGTTGTTTTACTATCATTATCTGTATTTACAACACGTGTTGGAGTACAATCAGCTAGTGCAGATGCTCGACGTTCAGCTAATTCTGCTAATAATTCACACAATTCTAGGACCATTGTAATTTTCTTAATTTCTTCATTATGTTCGGACTATTTAATTGAATAATTCATAGAAATCAATAAAAATGAAAGGAATTTACGTCTGTTTCTTATTTACTGAATGGATATTCTAATGTTGACTAAAACAAAATAATCAATAATGTAAGAAAGTCTAAAGACAAAAATCCCAACTACATCCGTTTTTTTTCCTGTTATTTCAAAGAACGATAATTTTACCGGCTAAAATTATACGTAACGTTACAAACGTTGAAAAAGTGCGTGATATTAATTAGTTTCAGTCATTTCTTTTTAATTTAATGAGTGCGTTTTACTACAAGCCTCAAAAGTTAACTGCAACTGTTTATCATGAAAATGTCAGTGTAATGTAGTAAAACATGCCAGGTGGTAATGGTTACGAGTTGAAATGGAACCCCTAATGATATATATATATATATATATATATATATATATATATATATGATAAGAGTTCAAAAAAGGTGATTCGACTAGTGAAATACATAGCAATGAGTGCTATGGTTGACAGATTTATCTTACGATTCAATTTATAGTTGACTTATATTTTTAGGAGAAAAAGATACACACACTTAGTGCAAAGTGCTTCTTACCTCCCAAGAATTCATTTTCATACCACAAATAACTTTTAAACGAGAACTGGTAAGAAACATTCCAGCTAAATTTTTGGATTATTAGCAGCAATTACATTTAATAATTTGTTAGCAGAAGGGATTTGAGATTATTGAGTTTCAAAGTTTGCATTACGAACTGACCCTCGTCAGGCAACCGTTAAAAACTAGGAAGCTCTGGACAGCTGCTTCATCCTAGTATAAGATTAATCATCAATGAGCACCCACAACTCCGTTGAGGATAGAACTCAGAACCATTAGGTGTCTAAATGGGAGCTCATAGTTATGACAACTAAGTTGGTATCCAATTCTTCAATTTCATAACTTCAGATAATTCGAGATATTGCTCGATCATCAACTGTTCCCACCGGAGATATTTGCTTCATCATGGATATGGATAGACTCTTCTGTTCACAGGCTTTCAATAAAAAAACTGCAGGAATTACCTTACGAAGCTTTTGGTTTCCAATGACTGTCTAAAGTTAGTAAGTGATGTAAACCGTAAAAAATAGATTTTTATTCCATTTCGAAGACGTTTATAAAACAACATAAGAATATCATACACACAGTTGCCTTTATCATTTTGATAAGAACAAGAACAAAGATTCTAGCAGAATGTTTGTTCTTTCTTTTTTCAAAATAAAAAAATTATTAGAGGAAAATGTGTTTCAGTCATTTTTATTCTAAAAAGGTTGAATTTATAAGCATATAACAAATGGATTATTGAAAAAAATCTATCGAATGAACTGCTAACCTCCATTAAAATTTCATCTGAAAATTCTGCAGCTTCCCACAAACAACCGGATGTTAAATCATTCTCAAAATTTCTACCTGTAGCTAAGAAAAAAGAATAAACACAATGACTAAATAAACAAATAACAAAAAGAAATCCTGTCTATAAATCTAAAAGATAGGAGATTCTAAAAGAATTCATTGAACGACAGATAAACGCACAAAAACCGGTCCAGTAGCTATAGCTATAAATATATAGAAATTTAGGAAAAGAATTAACCATAACAGAAATCTTTAGTTTAAAAAGTTCAATTGACAGGGTTTTACAATTTTTGGAACCTTAATGCATTTTGAAGCCCTTGGATTGAAGCTCAATAGAAGATAAATTTGAACAATACGGAAAGCACTCAGAATGAGAAAATAGCAAGTGATAAAAAATTCTTGGTTTGGCAAAGAATGTAGCGTTGTGCTGCTCAGCCAGTCCAGTCAGTCAGTAACACCGTAGAACTTCGTACGTACGTACATCAGTTCGAGTTGCTACACCACATTAACACTGAGATGCAGTGGTCGATTTAAATCCCGTAGTGGTAGAGGTAATAAGAGTATAAGCAGTAATCGGGAAAAGTAGTGTTTGGAGATGTTATTTAAAGAGTATAATACAGTGAAATAAATTTGGAAAGAGGAAAAAAAGGACATGGAGAATTCAGAAGATTAGAATCTGGGAGAACACAAAGAGTGGATGCAACTGCGCCATTGCAAACGATTTTGACCCATGTCATTCAGGGTCTCTAACCATCGGTTGCTATCATCTCGCGGTCCCCAAACACGTAGTCTACACCTACCAATATGACTCAGTTCACTTGTCAGTGACTTCATAGACTTGTGCCATGTTTTGGTCTGGCCGCCCCTAGCTTTCTTTCAACCTACTTCTATACCACTGAACATCGCACATCGAGGCAGTCGGTCGTTGGGCATACGTAACACGTGTCCCAGCCATCTCAGCTGATGAAGCTTCACTACTTCATCAATCGGTTTGCCATCCTTACCTAGTAACCGTTTCCTAACAACTGCATTACTTACTCGATGGTCCCAGGATATACGAGCAATATTTCGAAGACACCTATGATCAAATACTAGTAACCTACGAATATCCTCTACTCTTACCGCCCATGTTTCACTGCCATAAAGTAGGACGGAACGAACTGCTGCGCAGTAAACACGTCCTTTGGTTGATAGACGGATATCTCGCCTACGCCATAAATGACGCAAGTTGGTAAAAGCTAGCCGAACCTCCTTTATCCGTGCTGAGGTTTCGTCACACACCAGACCACAAGGGCTGATGAGACTTACAAGATAAGTGAAGCGATCGACACGCTCAATTACTTCATTCCTTATCATTAGTTCGGGTGTCGATGTAACCCAATCCTGAAGCAACATTTTACATTTCGAGGGAGAGAATCGCATCCCGAACATGCTTGCATTGTTGCTTAGAGTGGTCATAAGACTCTGCATTGCTGCTAATATTTTTAAAGCGTATATACGAACTAAGAATTGTGCATGCACTAGGAAATGACACCTGATGTGCAAGGATTAACCAAGCTGTTTATAGATTAAATTGAAACAGGTATACCATGATCTGAAGACGTGAACAGAATGACTGAATGTAAACCAATATATATTAAATTTTTCTGGGAGTATGATATGACGTCCAAGAATTAAGACTGACAATCAGGTCCTAATTGATTGTAGAGTAAGTGTCCTACAGACTAATTTTCTCTGTACACCAGTAACTGTTGGAGTGATCCAGAAAATTGCTTGCAAAAGACAAGCAAGCATCAAGGATCACTAAGAAGCGTTTCGTCCAATCAGCGTTCACTTGGAGTCTTAGCCAAAAATATCAAGGAAGCGAAACGTCACATGCAGAGGCTCTGATTGGCTGGCTGCTACACTGCTACTATGTTTAGTAGCATTCCAAAGTCTTCTAGCAACCCAAGGACATTTAAAATATTATAAAAACTCTGTATTTTCTGTATTAAAATGAACCTTGGAGTAAACTACTTCTTGTATACTTTCAGTCTTCTCTCTTGTGTTCAGGTCGCTGTATAGTTCTAGTTTGGGGGTTACAGAATAGATTAGGAGACGAATATAGCGTTCAATCAGCAAGACTTATCAGTAACAATTTATGATGTTTATTATATGCTCATATTTTGTATATAGGCATATCATTTTACTACATAGTAAAAACCTATTCCTTTAGCTAGTGCTTATGTTTTAGATCACAATTGACTAAAAAAAGCTATTTTATGAGCACTCGACACTCAGTTACATTGTACCATTCCATATCGTTTCATAGATCAGTATTCTTTTATTTTAACAATCAAAAAAGTGTTTATCTAATCGATAAAAGAATGGAATTGAGATATTTGTATTTCGATGAACAGACTACTGCTGCGAGTGTGTATAGAAGTTTTCCTACTAATACAGGAAAGAAAAATATTGCATTACTAGAGAGGTTTCAGTTTTAAAAGTCTGTTTATTTAGAAAATTATATGCGTTTATTTTACTTATGCTATGTTTGAAGAGACTCGGTGACACAATAACCAATTCAGCTAACTAATCCGACGCGTCCCAGTTCCGTTAACTAGAGAGAGACGTCCAAGTTCAGAAGAGGGAAATATATTCCACAAGCAGTCAGAAGCACGAACAACAATAAGCACAACTCAAGCGTATATATACAGCATAAAAATGTCCTTGTAAAACTTTACAAAATAGCATATTAAAAGAGGCAGCAAGCCAATAGCATTTAAGGTCCTCCCAAGTGACATGAAGGTGAAAATGGGTGCTTTCGGAACGAAAACAAGAATTTAAACTTTTTTTTAAAAACAGGATTACAAAAATGAGACATTTACATAGTGAGTATAAGGGATTTAACATTCCTAACAACAATATATTCAAGCATAAAATTTTATTGGAACAAAATACACATACTATATTTATCAGTAAATGATTGATGGCAATTTTCTACAAAAACTGTTTGTGTTTACCAATGATATGGGATTTAGTATCCCAAACAATATTAATTTTATTGGTTACTTTATTTAATGTACGCGAATAGTGGTGCAGTGGAACACACCACACAAATAAGGAAGTGTAATCGTAAAGTGATAGAAGGGTGTGAAATTGGAAAACCGAAATAAGAAGTGGGCGAGAATCGTTTATAATAGTCATTAAGTTTAAACATTACAAGGAAGTTTGTGGTAGATAACCGAGGTCATGTAGATAACACAAAATACCATTAGAAGAAATAGGGCTCAGGTATGTTCACTAGTTTCATCTATCCAGTGGTTGAGAAAAAGGTTTGAGAATGCATAGATAACAAACGACATTGAATGAAAACCAAGAATAAAGTTAGGTTTAAATGAATCACTAGCGATTTATAAATTAAATGTTTTACAAATGGGAGTCATGAAGTGATTCATATCTAATTGGTCTGACACACCTTATAAATGTTCTTACAGATATACAAAATAAATATACTTCATCACAAAATAGTAAAAAAATACACAACTAACCAAAATAACAGGTTGTTTTATCTAGTCATAAGCCTACAGCCTGATTGATATATGTATTTCAAAATGTTGTCCTTTTTACTTTTCTTCTTCTATGTTTCACTTTGTTGATTGTAATTCAATGACTAAGTGTAACAGACGCATAATTTTTATTCACAAAATCGTGAATTAGAAATCGACTCAGGTATATTTCAAGTGAATAGCCCTGAATTATAATTAATTCTATCATAATAGTGTTACTTATAATGCAATAGTAAACAAAACATGTAAATCGATCCGTTATTAAAGTGTTTAAGGAATTTCGAAAAAGCGCCAGCATGGATAATGTTGTTTCCAGACAGTAATAATAAACAAAAATTATGGTATACGAATCCACGAATTATTATTATGGTCTGCTATTCAATTAGTGTACACATTGAAATATTCCAAATATTCAAAACGGTAGGGATGATAATGATGATGATGACAGCAATGATAATAAAAGACTGTATGATGACCGATAAGACTAAATATTAATTCCATTTAAGCTTACTGATTGAGAATATTATTTAGAAATACTTCAGTGATTATGGGTTGGTGTCTTAATAGTTTTACCAAAACGGTGATAAACATCGTTGTACATTATTTTGATCACACCAGATTAAAGTAGGTTAATTTAATTCATGAGGTTTTGCACAAAAATGAAAGCTTACCGATAACAGGATAAACACCATCTACACCTTGAACAGCGATAGTTTGTAAACCAGAAGGATGAATAAATTGTCTATTGTTAGTTTGGTAAGTAATTTGTTGTAAGGTAGTTCCAGTTTTACTCAAATTTAAATTACTCATCACAGGTTCCATATAGGATATTTTCGGTTCAGTATTGTGATGAGGAAGAGATGACAAGTTCCCTTCATTAATTTGAGTTCCATGAGATCTATCTTCTAACAAAAGAATTTTCGACAAAGACCATAGAGAAATAATCGTCAAAATGTTGTCAAAATGAATAAACTAACTTTCGTTACAAAATAATTTTATAAAAACGTAGTATAGAAACCAAAAAACGGATCATATATACATAAGACGTATCAGAAATTACGAGATTATTGAGGCCGTTTGGAATTGGTGTACCACACAAACCAGAAAAATCACTTCAATCAATCCTATGCAAACCAAAGGAGGAAATAACAAAAAAAGAAAAACCAGACATCATCTACAAAATAAATTAATCCAACTGCAAAAACCACTACATTGGACAAAGCGGACGACCTCTTCATCTTCACCTGCACGAACACCAATTAGCAGTCAAACACCATGACATATCCTCACTTTTATCAATCCATCTGGACAACTGTGGACATACATTCAACTGGAAAAATGTCGAAATCTTGGATGGAGGTAGTACTAAAAGCACCAGGAAATTTTTAGAAGCCTGACACTCAGATCAATCAGTAATCAACAAACACATCGAAATTGATCTAATCTACCAACCAATCAGAAAAATCATGGACAAATATAGGACTAATGATCAGATCAAAGGGAGATACAATCAAAATAAAGAGGCAGACAACGACAGGTTAAGGGTCAACAATAACCAACCAAGATAGCGGTAGACAGGACAACATGGGAGTCGTAAGTATAGAAATTCGAACACTTCACTTCTACCTGACGCTTGTGATGATGATGTTGTTCAGAAAAATAATGGAAGCTCCATGACCAAACCATCCAGCTCAGAAAACAAAACCTCACCTAAATCATCCACCTGAGCTACAAATCCTCTCTACCATCTCAAATAGCATTACATACATACATTACTTGCCAACATTATATGATTGAACTTATTACTATTCATACGAATATTTTAGTATTTGTTTGAAATAAATTTCTCTTGAATTGGATAGTAACTAACAGTAGAATGCAAAACATCTATTTCGTTATATATGTAACTCTTATTTGTACATCCAATTAAACACAAAAGTAATGAAAGTTTTAATCTGTTTCTTAATAAAATTCAACTAAAATATGTCAAAACAAAGAAATTGAGAGGAAAATATTTGTTTTCAGTTAATTATTTATCAAAGTTCTATATTAAAATATAAATTTTACAAGTAAATATAAAATCAATATTAAATAAATGGTAGTGAGTCAAGTTAACAATATCATAATCAGTTAGTAACAATTTAGAATAGCAAATAAAAATAGGATAATCATATAACAATCTACAATTTAACATCATAAAATGACTTCAGATAGACAACTAAAGAAAACTATGAAGCATTTGACAGCAATTTCATCTTAGTATTAGACTCCGTATCAATGTGAGTTTATGAGCCCACTAGATGGCTGAACTCAGGACCTTCAGACCTCATGATGAGTGCTTACATAACTTTTGGACAACTGAGTTGACGTCCAACGGTTGTCAATTTTAAGATCAACCAATTCGTGATATTGTTCAGCCATTACCTGTCACTATTAGAGATATTCGTCCCATGCTCGATATCTATTGGCTTGTGGAATAATTATGCCAACGTAAATCTATTATATGGTATTTTGTGCATATTTGACTTAAAGCTTATCATCATCTCTTTTGTGATTGTTAACTATGTTATATTGGTTAATGTTAAACTACAACATTCGAAACTAACTGTTACAGTCTAATTAAATAGATGTGTTCAAAATTTAGGTGATAAAAAAATACTTAAAGTCAGTTCATTATATCTTCTTTGCAGATGAAAAATATAAATGACCTGGTAAGTTTTTTATCACTAACAAAGTAGGTGACAGTATTAGGTTTTATTAATCGAAATAAAGTGTAAAGGTTTGGTGATTTGCCTTGAAAACACCTAATTCACAGAGAAATATTTTCATTCATAGTAGCCTATAATAACGACATAGATTTTTCGAAATTAAAATTTCTTGTTGAAATCTTAAGCTAAAATGAGTTAAGATCGATAACGATTAACCTGTTTCTTGGTTAATCTATCATGAGTTAGAGCCTAACATTCAATAACTCATATAAAATTCAAAGAGTAATACATAGGGAACTATCAAAATTTATTGGATCTTAATGACAACAAATTAATAGATCCAATAATTTGAACACACGAATCACTACTGTACTTCCCAAAATATCTATTGGAACTAGACATTTACTATTTAACAGTTTATTCCAGTATAACAACTGCTTAAACGAATCTATCAAGCCTGAGAAACAATAAAAGGATAAAAAATCTAATGTGATCAACCAGATTTTCTCTATAAACATCAAAAAAGGTTAAAAACAGTTACTGTTAGTAGAGTAATACTTATCATTAAATGTCATGTGAACGAACAGTATCAGAGGGGGGGGGGAGAGCGGGAAAGAAAAAATTGATTTTTTGTGACATTTGGTTAACCGAAATAACATCAAAGAAAATGCAAGTAAGCCAGAGAGAGAAAGAAAAGAACATTTGTAACTATTCTTTAAAAAAAAACATTCACTTCACTTATCTGTTGCTGAGTTTTTCAAGACCATGGCATTTTTTGTACAGAACATGATAAAATAGTATTAATACAAAGATAGTATAGTAAAAACCAATTAATCACAAATTTTACTGAAGCATTTATTAAACAAGAAAAACGCAAAAATAAAACAATTTTAATCACCAATAGAAATTAACTATTAATCATAATTAATACAAAAATTAGTTGACAGAGGATAATAAATAAACAAATAAATAAATACTAACTTGTATAATCAGTTAATCCCTTGTTTGGTTCTGATATAGGTTGAGTATTATACTTGTGACTAGTTGGAGAATTTCGAGAATTGACTGGCAGCTAAAGGGTAAAAACAAAAACTTTGTCAAGGCAATAAACACATCTGGACATAAACATTATTAAGGGCATGAATTATTCTGTTGTTGTTATTTTGGACTGTATTATGATTAGTTGGGATAATTCATACCCTTACTAATAACGATATATTAATACAACACCAGTTGAATAAATCAGTGGCTATCCGGAGTCACTAGCTAAGTGAACAACCAATGGAAGCATGAAGTTATGGATTTTGAAAACAAAAGAATACGTCCCACGTGAACGACAGAATTACGTTGATATCAAAGGAAAAGCAACAGTAAAAAGTGAATGTATATTGTTTGAAAACAAACATGATTCACAAATGATTTCAACTGAATATATGTAGTAAGGTTAATTACTGTCAGCTTCGATAAACACAGGAAACTTTTACATAATAAAACACTTCCATAAAAGTATAAAATCTGTTACCTTTATACATAGGGTCTATGAGTAACCCTAAGTAACCTTTAGTAAATAAATACGCACACAAATATTACAAATCAAGTAAAGTATATAAACTACTTGACACAATATAAGTAGATAAATGAGTTATACACAAAAAGATTTTCGAACTAGAGCAACGTGCAGGATGAACTCGAACAGAAACTAGTGATTAGTTACGTAAAGCGACATTTATTACAATTTACTAACGGTACTTACCGTAGTAATAGCATATGCTTCAAACTACACATTTTGAATGCAGTTATTAGATGACTTAGATAAATAATCTTGAAGCTCTATTCACATGATAATAATGCACACAATATAAACGGTATTTTTGTGGTTACAAGTTATCAGTTGATGTCAGTTCATGAAAGTCTCTTTTAAATGACGAAGAAAACAACTTTTAGAAAAGTTTCCTATTACAATAAATAATCAAAAGAGAGAATTGCATATTATCATGTACCTACCTGATTTAAGTACTGATCAGCTAATTTATTATTTACACCATGTGGAATTTCGTTTGTATTCAAGAGAGTGGGTGAAGAGTAGCGATGATTATCATTTAGTAATTGATAATATCGCGTATCTGTTGTATTTGTACCAATAGTTACATCTGGGAGTGGACCAATATCTGTCATACCTCTACGTTGAAGATTATTATTATTTGTAAGATATGCTCCAGGATTACGAACAATTCGGCCGACGTTACTCATATGTGAACTGGGTAAAATAAGCGAAAAGTATTAAAAATAAGTAACTAATGGTAAATCTATCTTATTCAAGTACACTGAGAAAATTTTTAAACGGTTAGTTATTTACCAGTATATGGTTTTGACTCCCAGGAATTAGGCAGCTAGAAATTATAATTAGCCCTTACATAACAAATATAACCACAGTTGATTACAAAAATATTGTTCCTGTCATTATAATCATTATTAGTACTCACTTCTACCAAAAATAAATTATTTTAGCATATCATCAATAAAATAGCTATAATTACAAATATTAATGAAAAAAATATTCATTGAAATTGACCTACAGTGGATCAGTCGATTGATTTTGTTGACGGAATCGTTCACGATCTATACGTTGAACTTCTTAACCGCACAGTCGGCAACCACAAAAATACATAAAAGGAACGGAAAAAGAAGCTAATGAAATACAGTGTAAGAATATGAGAACATAAAAATTCTTCAGGAAATTGAATGTTAGTAGTAATACTATTAGTAAACTCCATACATCCAGCATCTGCCCATCCATCAATCCATTTTTGAGTAGCTTCTGTGTTCTTTAAAACCATTATTTTGTTTCATTCGAGGAAAAAATTGTTACTTAACTGTAATGTAAGGTGCTGAGGTTCAATTTCTAAAATCATCATGAAAAAACCCTACTGAGGAGACATATACTGGGACGAAGCAGGTGTATATAGCTACTTAATTCAGTCGGTTGCAACGTAGGAACAGGCACATATATGCAATTCAGCTGGCCTTCAGTTACTTCACAGCTACCCACCATTTCCAAACACCCTGAATGGAACATTGAAGTAGGCCCTCGAGTCTAAATGAATTTTAAAGATTTACCTATCGACTGATGTCAATCCATTATGAAAACTAATTTTCATAAATTTCGAAATACTAAACGTTAGTGAAAGGCAAATATCGTTGCAAAATCAAAAAAATTCATGAAAGAAAAGACAGGTTTCATAAAGACACCATACAGTCTACACAATATTCAATTTACAATCGTTAGTCATTTCTGTGGAAAGATAAAGAAAAATATTAAATCGACAAATTCAGTGTTTTGATAAACATTAAACTTTTCGTGTGAGTCAAACCGAGCTCAATCGACACGAAATGAAACTAACAAGATGAATACCAAAAGAGTTTAAATAACTGTAGTAACACTCACAGTGAAAAAGATTGGACATTAAAGAATGTAATTTGAAAAGAAATAAAAATGTAAGTATGAAAGGACATAACTCTATAAATTACTTATTCCTAATCCAGCTAATGTGATTGAGGATAACTAACGTACCCCAGACGTACACCAGATACAAAAACAAACTTACAACTTATAAAACTAAATTTATATAAACGACAGTTATTTCTTTTAAGTATAATTGGCTGTTAACTAATACACATGAATATTATGAGATAGGTTTACCTGAACCATCTGAATTTACAATAACATAATCTTCAAGCGGTGGTTCACCATATTCCATCTCAGCATTCATATACACTCCACGTTGATCAAATCGATATGCAGTTGATCTTTGTTCATCTACATTAAATCCATCCTGTCTTGTTGGTACTGATGGTCGATAATTGTTTGATATATACTGTTGTTGATGATTAGAACTATAAAAGTTAGTGTTAAGATTATTTTGATGATTATCTGTAGGGTATTTATTAGAATCAATATGCATAAAATCACGTGGTTTTACTGAAGGCAGTTTAGGTAAGTTATTTTGGTCACTAGATGGTGATGAACTGGATGCATCTAATTCATCTTCAATGTATTCATCGACGGTAGTTTTCGTCATTTCATCATCTATATCGTCTAGACCATAGCCTGGATCATCATAATTATTGAAAGGTGTAACACCAGCTCCGGTATGTTGTGGATAGAATGGACTGAAATCACCTGTTGAGTGTTGTGATGATGGTGATGATGAAGTTGCTCCAGATAAAGGTTGTTGTTTGTTGCTTGTATTATTTGGCCAATGTGTTGGATTAGTCCATTCACGAGGACCGTTTGATGAACCAGGTGGATTATTAGATGCCTGTGTATATACGAAAAATATACGTTTAAAAGAAATGTAATACAGGATATTAGACAATAGATGGTAATTGTGGTGAACATTGGTAAATAAAATAATTGTTGCATTATTAAGTTTTACTTACTTATTGAGGTTTTGATAATATTTTAATGATAAATTTTCTAATATCATAGACATTAAATTAATTTCGATATACATATCACCGAATTATCTATGTAAAGTTAAATAAAATAGTTAGGGAGAAGTGTTCTCTTTATGAAGATATTTTCTTTCATGAACTTATATCGACTGAAGAAGCAATCAAAATTCGGCAGTAGTAGACAATCATTTTATTTTAGCTTGAAATTTTCCAACGATCCATACCTTCGATTTCACATAAGAATGAACACAGGAATTTTAAGTTTCACAGTGAAGAAGATACTTTTAGAATATCAAAACAGACTTCAAAGGCGCACATTTTTTATCTCGACGGAATGGCGGTATAATACACCACAAACATCTCAATAATAATAATAATAATAATAATAATAATAATAACCTCAATCAATAAGTAGCACCAAAATCGAATCGCGAAGATTTATTTATAAACTATGAAGAACAAAGTCAATAAATTTGGGAGTGATTAAATTACCCAGCAATGATATTTCACAAAGATCGCATTATATCACAAACTGATTGAAGCTGGAGGCTGGACCATCGAAACTTGCTCAATAGCATCGTGGATACCACAAGAATTAATGATCATATTTTCAATTTTCAGACTAGGATTAAATGATCATTCACTTCTAAATGGTTTTCCTTAGTTCTTTAATTGATACCAGTGTACGTGGTGACAACTATCCCCAAATATACAAATATGACTAAATGGCTAGTGAATTTAACTATCTATGCTATATTGATAGTAGTGAAATTGTTGTTGTACAGGCCACATTGTCTTGGTTGCTTTTTCATAAGCAATTAGAATTATGGAACTGGTGAATGTATTACCATTTATTTATAAAATCCATGCTTACATGTATGATACCATGTTTGCGATGAATAACTAAAATAATTTTTATTTAATAGTTAACGTGTTATCTGACTTTGAACAAAAAGGATAAATTGTCTTAAATTCGACTGTTGTTTCTTATTGAATAAGGATCGGTAATGCAATGAGCGACTTATGGAACGAGAGGATTTATAAAATATTGGGACCGGAGCTACTTAATTTTTATCAATATTGTACATATTTTATCGCATTATCGCTATAGACAATACAATGACTTCGTTGTTAGTTTGTAATATTGATTGACTATGAATACACTGGATTTATTGTACTATTTAACACAAAAGCAGTTAAGATGTAGACTGGTTATTAGGTAAAAACAGAGCGCTATAGTGACTTTCACGTACAAAATATTGACGCGAAAATCTAAGACTTATCTGTGTAAACAATTAGTTCAATAAAACGGAGAAAATATGGCGACATAACTAGTTTTATTTATTTATTTATTTGAACACATAAATATTGGTACAAGGAAGCACCAAATACATATGTACCACACAATAATAATGACAATGGGAAGAGAAAAGGCGAGTAAGGTGCGTGTAAAAAGAAAAAAAGGAAAAATAACGACCACAAATTAGTGTATGGTGATGAAATAGTGATAATAGTGGGGGAAAAAAGTACAACCAGAAAGAATTCTTTCAGTTACTAACATAGTGTTGCCACTGGATGTCAGCAATCCTTCGGAGACAACAATGATCGAACACAGAGAGTCGTCTAACATCCTCAACTCGGAGAGGCTAGGTTTCACAATCATAGAGCAAAACTACTCTCACCGACGCGTTGTAGATCCGATCTTTTACAGCCAGACTAACATCACGAAGACGCCAAAGATGGCCCAGATTGGCATAAGCCGCTCTGGCTTTCACTATACGTGCATTGATCTCATCACTCACACCACCACCACCACTTATGTAGCTACCCAAATACACGAACTTCTCGACAACTTCTATCTGGTCACCATCCAGGGTGAGTACAGGATCAGAGTCGTGCCAGTCTTGTGAAAGTACTTTGCACTTCGAAAGTGCAAAGCACATACCATACCAACGGACATTGATTGTCAACTGATTAAGTGCGGATTGCCTGGTTTGGGTATTAACGCACAGTAAGACAATATCATCTGCATACTCAAGGTCGATAAGTCTTTCTCCAGGCAACAGATCCACACCGCCATTACTTACATTCATCAGAGCTGTTTCCAGAATGCATTTCACTGATAACTGAGAAGATAGAGCTTTTTCCAGTTCTGAAGTGAAGATTTGACAAAACGGCAGCCTGCTTGAATATCTGTGTTACCTGTTCCTGCCATCTAATTATTTCAAGAAGTTATCTGTTTTTCATTTTGTTTTAACCTCTCATTATGTCCATTAATCGCATAACCTATACAGGCGCGTTTATGAAAAGCCTACAATCTTTCGCTGCACAAGTTACAAAAAAGTACTATACAAGACATCGTGGTGGTTAGCAACATGCGTTAAAGAGAATGAACACCAATCGTATGTCGATTCTCGAGCTGCTAAATTCTAACTGCCGATTACTAATCAACAAAGTGGAGTATCTTCAATTCCTACTAAGTCAAAATACGCATCGTAATTGTGGTGTCATCAGGACGACTGCCTAGTATTACTACGTGATTGCAAAACTTATCGTCAAGATGGATCAAACAATAAAACAAGGTGTGGCGACGGTGTAGCTACGTTTGTAAACGCGAACTGGTGTCGATCTTCGTTTGCGTGTTTCAAGTTTTCAAATGAATTTATCGACTGTCTAACTCTAAGATGTCCACAACACCTGAATAAATACAGATATGTTTATGTTACCAATATCTACGTGACTCCAGACTGCACATCATCTGCGCTATCTGTTTTCGCTGATGAATTCACTGAGTTCGCTGTTACTGCCTTCAGTGATTCACTTTCACTTGTATGTGGTGATTTCAATTCATATGACTGTAGCTTCCTTACGTCACTAGGTCATCAAAATGTAGTAGATTTTCCTACCCGTTGGGATGCTCATTTCGACTTCGTTTTCTTTAATGATGTGGGTATATATGTGACTCGTAAACGTTCTACATTTTCTAGCTCGGATCACTGTATAATTCGTGTTTTACCTAAAGTATATGGAAAGCATGGGAAGAGTACACTCTTACATCAAACCGAGAAAGTCAAATATAGGAAGTACTCAGAAGAAAATATCCGAAATCTGAAAAACATGTTTCATACGACTAACTGGGAATTAATTACAGATGACTCACTGGAAATCACTACTGATGTTATGTAAGTATGTGGAAACTCTTTAAGAACTTACAGGTAACAGACAGATTAGGAGCGATAACCAGCTGAATGTTTGCGACTTAAATAAGTCTTTTGTACGTCAGTCATCTGATGTAATGCTACCTTCATCCACAGGTTTAAAGAATAGCTGTGTTCCTAGTTTCACTGAAACTGATACCCGAAGATGTCTCCAGTCACCTAATTCATCCCGATGTTTACGACCTGATGGTATCCTAAACCTCCTTTTTTTAAAATGTGCTGATGTCCTATGTTATCCATTCACTACTTTCTTTAACAGATCCTTCTCATCTAATCTCATACCGAAAATGTGGAGAAAGATGAAGATAATCCTTGTATCCAAGAAAGTATCTGGTGATAAGAATGTGAAATTTGGACGTATTGCAATAACTTCACCCTTCCTGAAAACAATGGAAAAATTAATGACACTTCCACTTCAGCCTGTGATAAACGAGCATATTGATCCGTATCAGTTTGCTTACAGATGCAAAAGAAGCACCTTAGATGCCGTTGATGTTCTGCATCATAATATTGTGTTCAACTTAGAAAAGGGTAAGAAGTATGTTCGATGCGCTCTTCTGGACTATACTTCAACTTTTGATTCTATACCAAGACAACATTTAATTAACAAGTTAATCAGCGTCAACACTGACAGTTGGATAACCAACTGGCTACGTTCCTACATCTCTGGAAGGGAACAGTACACTGTATTTGGAGGAAAGTGTTCAGAGTCTCTACTGTTTCATGAAGTTATACCACAAGGACGTGTTCTTTCACCTCTTCTTTTCTCCTTCTTTCTGCATGATCTGCCATCTTCCACAGAAAACACTTTTGTGAAATATGCGGATGATCTCACTGTATGTATGCCTATCTCTTCCTCTTTACATCCCATAGAAATGAATGAGTTATTGTTTCGTATTGATTGTTGGTCTGTTGGTAATGGTCTCATACTTAATCTGTCTAAATGTCAAGCTGTTAACTTTAGCATGAGACATGAACGGCATCTAAACACCATTTTGAGATCCCATAATCCTTGTGCCATTGGAGACTCTTTGATAAACAGTGTCGAAGGTCACCAACTGGATGTGTCACCATTTCCTCTGATCTCTCTTGGTCTCCCCACGTTTTATTGTTATCGAAGAAGGCTTTCCGTCTGACTTAATACATAAAGAGATTTCATGCTCTTGGGATTACTCGTCATTTACTCTTACAATTTGTCAATTCTTGCATATTACCTATTATTCTTTACCGTTCTCCATTATTCCTTCTACAGACTTTTGAGAAAAGACTTTGCTGTATTGCGGAGAGTGCTGAAGGCAGTTAGCAAGATGTGTGATGAATCTTTGGAGGTCATAATTAATATGGTTGTGGATAGACACCTAAAGTCATGCAAACTCCTGGCAGGCGTTATTTTATCAGATACTAACCATCCCCTTCACTCTTATCTTTCTCCTTGTATATCTTGTGGTAGAACGAGACGTAATTACATTTAAATCTATGCACGCAAGCAAAAGTATAAAAGTTCTATAATACCTTACCTAGCAAATGTACTCTGTGACGAACAGGTTGTTAGAGTTAACCTAGTCAATAACCTGCATTCTTAACATGTTTCTACTTTGAAAAGTTGTACAGTTTTTCAGATTTTGTAAACCCTTTTTTCCCTTCTTTTGTCTTTTCTTCTGTTTTTTGTGTAAAAAACTTGTTGAAATACCCTGTGCTGAGAATTTCTACGTTGTAGCAAAGTATAATATTGAATAAAGCCATTAATAATTAAAAAAACTAAAAACTAAAATAAAATAGTTCACATGAAACGCGATTTCTTCAAAACTAATAATGAAAAATTTTTAAACTAAATTATCCTAAGATCTTAGTAAACCATGACATAAATATGTTTGATACACGCACACAATAATATAACAGATTAAGTTTAAGAGTAAAAACTTCTTACTTTTCCTTGAGGTGTTTTATCTCTTCCACGATTACCATCTTGTGGAGCAAGATAATATGGGCCTTCACCAGTTCCTTGACCAAGAACAGTAATTCCAGAGCCTCGAACTGTTGGTCTGTTACGACTAGGTAGGGCAGGAGCAATAGATGATCGTGTTGCAGACGACTCTGGACCAGAACCAGCTTATGTGTATAAAAAAGACAATCCACACATTATTTCGAAATTTACATGAATCTATAATTAACACTTAAATGTTTTGTTTCATAGGTTTGTTATTAATTATCTATCAAAATGCAGGTATTTAGGCATAGAAATTTATTTTGAAGACAATTCTTGTATAAAGATCCAATTGAAGTACGGTTGATGCGAAATGTAACTTCACTTGAATAAAATCTCTCTACCTTTGTACAAAAATGTATACATTAACTGGTTATACTCATTTCTATGGTTACCAAAATACTAAGTTAAATATACATGAGAAATGCTACACATATTATGAAAAGTACTCATTAAATTCAGGCCAGTTAATTCAATGGTGAAAAAAGAACAGTATTATATGGCTAGCATAAGAACTTGATAGTCAATCCTATTGTGAATATACATCTTAAAACACAGAAACAAACATCAAATAAAACGGTTTCTTTTGACGGAAAAAAAGACTGTGACAAAGTCAAAAAGAATTTTCAATTCAACTGATAAATCAAAATGAAATGCTTTGTAGAAAAATGATAATCATATGAGATCGAAAACTTTTTAAGAAATAACTTCATTTATATTATTGAAATCGTGAGTCAATCTAAGTTAGACCAACATTGAAAACCTGAAAACATTGAACGGCCGTTTTTCCTAGTATGGAACTCCTCAGCAGTGAGCATTCACGATCTTGAGTGCAGGAATCCTGAATTCGGTCTCGTGAGCGAACGCTTAACCCCTAGCCCACTGAGCCGGCATCCAACGACTTTAATGTTTAGCTTCAACCAATCCACGTTCGGTGCTTCAAGGTTTCCAATGTTGATCTAGCTTAGATAGGTTAACGATTTTAATGAAATCCAACAATCTCCACAACCCCATATAATGAGAACTTTATATATATCATAATTAAAATTAAAAAATGAATGTGGCTAGCAGTGGAATGCAGGACACGTGTTTCTTCTTATCTGGGGCTCGTCATTTGCATGTGCTTGCATCCCAGAGTTTAAGTTCACTCTAGGACTCGAACTCAGTACCGTGTGCTCCAAACGCAATCGGGTTATCCACTTAGCTACTGAGTCCAGATAGCCCTTAGCTTGTGCAATGGGATGAAGTTTTAATTCATTTTTGTATTGTTTGTTTGAATCTCCCCATTGATGTTTATGACCGCAATTGCTTACATCTAAATGGTTTAAGAAAACAGTTATCAGACCATTTTTTTAGATTGTCTTAGTTAAAAGATAAATCTTTTCATACATGGATGGTGTACGAAAGCGAAGCAAACGGTAGCAATGACAGAGTTCACATCGATAGCTTAAGATCAACTAACTTGTCATATCATCATTCAAGATGTAAGAATCATCTGCTTCCCAGTTTGATTTAAATTAGTGAATGTTGTGATTGTGAATAAATATGTGACTAGGTTGATAGCTGAATTTTATAAATTAATTAGTAGCGAAGTATTTCAATCGCTGGAAGGTTCCTCTGCTTCAAGTCCTACCATAATCCAGGTTCTCTTTCATTCTCAATCATTGTCTCGATATTATAAATAATATATAATAAATAACCATAAAAAGTATAAATCATCTAATACCTTAATAAAATTTCTTATCATATAAATAAAATCAACAATCTAATAAATAAACAAAGATGGATAGTGGCTAGCAGTGGAATCCAGGACGCTCGTTTCGTCCTGTTTGGGACTCGTCAGCTGAATGTACCTGCATCTCAAAGTTGATGTTCACTCTAATAAATATGATCAAATATATGATCTTAATAACGACAACTTTTTAAAAAAATACTGAATGTAATCTCATAAATTTGTCACAATAAATGAAATTTCTATATTATATTGACATTTACAGCAAAAGGGGAATTCATAATCAAAGATTTTATTATAAAATAATCTTATTGTTAATCAATTAGATTGATTTGAAAATTTATCTAATGGTACAGTTAATAGAAAAATAACCAAAATGGTTAGACAACACCAGAAAAACGTCCCAACAAATATATAATAAAATTAATTTTTGTGAGAAGAAAACGTTATTGAAAAATTGGTTATTAATAATAACTACAAGTGACCAATACGATCAGTTTGCTAAAATGTGTTGTTTTTTTAGTGTAAGTGTTATCGATATCAACTGATCATTTCTGAATTCCAAAAGATGAAAGATGTCACTGATGTCCATTAATACTGTAGTGAACGAGAACCTAAGTAGTGAAAGCCAATTTATTGTTAAATGCAAAATTACACAGTGATTTCGGAAAATATGAATATCATACATGAAATACATCATTTGAACATCCTCCATCAGTTTTCATTTACATACTTCATAATTCTTACAATTCCGTTGTTATTTCAAATGCTTCCTGTTTTCACCCCTGTTCTCCTCAATTCAATCTTCCACTGGCAGGCATTCTACTTTCCGATTTCTGCTAAATATTACTTTTATCTGTCAGCATAAGCAGTATACACTACACTATCACTACTGGTCAATGGGAAGTCGTTGTCCAATAAACCGTAAATGGTATTATCAATTATTGCACTGTTTAAGGAATCACCTGTTGAATGTATTCCTAAATATCTTATGGAATAAATGGATTATGTTTAACAATGGAATTAAGGAAGTATGTGCTGTCTTATCTAAGATTAAGTTAGCTGGATTTAACTACGCTCGATTAGCGATGTCCACATTGAAAACTCGATAATGCATCAAGTCAGTTCGTCAGCTACAAGTAGGACCAGGCACATATATGCATCGGTCCAAGTTGCCAAAAATCATTAGCACACCAAGATAAACACCAAATTCACAGAAGTATTAACTTCAATGGTAGTAATATATAAAAGAAAGGTTGCGTATAAGGATGTGACATACGGGAGAAAAAATTAGTTAGTAGAAAGGTATAAATTAAATTTAATCTCACGGTTTAGAGGAAAATAAAGAGTACATACACCAACTCCATCGTGATCGGACCTGTGCCATGTCACCACGTCTCCAACCATCCGTTACAATAGTCGCGTGGACCCCAACCAAGTAGTCTGCATCTACTAACATGGCTAAGACCAGAAGTCAGTGACTTCAAGCACTGATGACACATCTTGGTTTAGCCACCCCACACTTTCTTCCAACCGTCTCCAACACTAGTCGATCGGCGATCAGGCATACGTAACACGTGGCCCAACTATCTCAGTCGATGAAGATTCACAATCCATCAACCGATTCACCATCATTCCCTAATACCGTGCGTTTAACCTCACTATTACTTAACCGGTGATCTCAGCAGATACGAGCAATATTTCTAAGACATTTATGGTCAAATGCTGGTAGCTTACGGCTATTTTCTACTTTTCATAGCCACGTTACGCAGCCGTAAAGTAGAACAGAAAGAAATGCTGTGCAGTATACTCGTCCCTTAATTGATAGACCGATATCTCGCCCTCGCCATAGGCGACGTCAGTTGGCAAAAGTTAAACGAGGTTTTCGAATCCATGCTGAGATTCGTCAGACACCGACCACTTAGGGCTGATCAGACTTCCAAGATAAGTGAAGTTGTCATATGGACCAGCTGCTCATCTTCGTTTCAGATTAGCTATGGCCTACTTCAGTGTTCCGTCCAGGCTGTTTGGGAATGGTGGGTAGTTGTGGAGTAGCTGAAGGCCAGCTGAACTACTCCTTAAAGTGCATCGTCCATCGTTTTAAATGTCTGGGCTGAGAACAAATAAATGTCGTCTTTTTCCGGGATAGTCTCGCTTACACTTAACTTCATAACTCCAGTTTCTTTTATTAGCCTGATAAGCTGTCTGGTGTTATATACAGCCGCTGCCTTTCCCATCCCTTTAGCTTTCGTTGCTCACCACCGCTCAGGGTCGTTCCTTAGACTTTTGGTTAACCTAGATCTCATTTGCTATTGCACTTTATCGTTTTTGGAGTCAGATGGGGTTAGTTTATGAGAATCTATCAGTGCAATAAACTTAGTGGAAATCCACTGGTTTTTCGTGACCTTTTGGTTCACATCACTAATAGATGTCGCTGCTCTTTATACAACTGTTTGTATAAAATTCCAAGCAACGTCCGGGTCAGCTTCATTTTCAGAACTGCCTAGGTGTGACCTCAGTTGTTCCTGGAATCTACTTTTGGCTTTCTTGTCACTGAGCTCAACTCCAATCGGCCTTCTTAATGTGGATTTTTCTGCGTCCAGTGAGGCACAAACAAATGCGTGCTCGTATTAGAGCATGATCAGAGTTTAATGCATCCTCTTACAAATAATGACACTTAAATCCATAGATACTAAACAACGTAATATTTCAGGATACTCAACGAGTTGTAACGCACCCGATTGTCTAAATCAAGCAGCTTGAAGAGAACTTTTAAACAAATATTGAAATGTTGAACAGAAAATAAATATCTACAACTATTAAGTCATATATGCGTACATTTGACTACTCACTATATTTCACAACCTTTTACAAACGAATCTGACTGTTACTTTGTATATAAATGACTTTTTTGTAAAAAAAAGACAGAAATTCAGTAAAAATACATACAAGATATTTTTAAAAACTCCATATTTATATGTTTAGGACAAATTACTATATTTCTAAACATTAGAAATACTGAGTTATTGAAAATAAAAAAGATATTGATGGTATATTATATTACGGATACAAAGAAGAGAGACTAAAGTGTATATAGTTAGTAGAAATTATGAAAATTAACAAAAAAAGCATATAATCTACACAATGTATGTTAAACTAGTTACACCTTTTTCACACGCTGAAAAAAAAGAATAAATAAAGCATACCTCTGCGTCCTGAGTGATTACAAAGATTAGAACCCCACCAACACATATGGGAAGGTTTTATAAAAAATAAGTTGGAAATAGGCAAAAATGACGATTTAGAGTATCATCATTAAAATAAATAATAAACAACACATATAACTGAACAATATTGTTTTTCATTACATCCTCATCAGACTTTAACATACAG